TTCTTGATTAAGTCGTATATTAAACCGCTCGATCGAGACCGGCCGAGTGTTATCCTAGCGCTCATTTCGACTTTGCATCCTGTAGTTAGCAGCAGTAAATGCAAATTACGACTTAATGGGCATGTTACGACCGTTAAGAAGCTGTAATTTATAGGCTACACAACCATCCGCGTTAAGAAAACCTGAAGAAAGTCCGTACGTGAAAAACGGGTTTGCAAATAAGATATTTATACTGAAAGGAAATTAATGGACAATTTATTAAATCCAGATCTTCGAAACAAGTCAGTATACTCAAATAGCTGAAAATACCGAATAAAAACTAATAAAAACCTCTAATTAATTAATTTTCGTGCTTTTAAAATTAAATTTTAATTTTTTCAAGAAATTGAATCTTTTCGTCTTTTCCTTCCAATTAATTGTTTCACTTTGAGATGTAATAATAAATATTTACTTCGGAAATGTATAATGAGACATTTGTTACGCGAGTTACGACGATTCGGGAAAGCAGATCTTTCTTGAAACGTTCTGTACACGTTGTTGCTCTCTTACCCGAGGTAGACATAAAATAAGCTATTCTCGTCTTTTTCCACCGCACTGTTCTCTCCCCACTGTGAATGCTAAACGCTCCCCGCCACACACACAGTTGTCCGAACGGAGAAAAAGAAGAGGACGGATATTGGCGCGTGTGCCATTCACGATTCGGTTTAACCTTCCGGCAATCACGCCTGCGTACGAAAATGCACGAATTCCACGATTCAGTCAAAAAACGAGCGTGCTCTTCCTCGGGCAAAGAGAGACAGTGATTCAGTACTTAACTTAATAATGCGAACGTGAACGATTTCTGTACCTCAAAATACGGTATTTCGCTGCATCTCAGTATTTTATTTTTTATCAGTTATAGCACAGTTCGACACGCAATTAAAAATATATTTAATGGAAAAAACGATACGCGGATTGCGGCTTTGTTTTCAAAATCTTTCTCTCTTTCCTTTTATCGATTTTCTTTCCTCCCTTTAATACCTTTGTCGATATCGCATTTTTTCGCTACGACTGGTAACGCACACCGCGCCACTTTTCTCGCATCGAAAATAGCGCAACGAATTCGGAACGAAAGAAAGCGCGACGGTTGTAGGTACGGGTGCAGGTGATTGAAAGCCGATACTCCGCGCTTGTACCAGACGCAGTTGCACGCACCGATCACACATTGCCCGGCTCCCAACGGCGTCAGGTATAACCGTATCGGCGCCGAAATTTTTTCTCGCCACTGTCACAAAATTCTTTCTTTATATCTTATTATTATCGCTTAAGAGTTACTTAGCATTACTAATGTCCATTTCTACCAATGTAAATTAACTTTAATCTTGGTTTAAGTTATCTTTTATCTTTTGCTTCCTCATAGAGGAAGCTTTGTTTTCGTGAATTTTGTATATGAACCTTTGATTGTGTATAAAGTTGGGTCTAATCAACCAAATTTAAATGATTTATATATGAAATAGGGGTAGAAGAAACCAACAAAGAGATTGGTTTTTGAGTTTTTGATGCCAATATGTTCAGTGTTCTAAAATGTCGAAATATTGCATTAAAATCGCATGTCCGTATGTATGTATGTATGTATGTATGTGCAGATTTTTTTAATTCTTAGAACTAGAAAAAGATAAAAAGTTAAATTAAAATTAAAATTAATTTATATTGGAAGAAAAGGACGGTACGACAAACCTCAGGTATCACCGAACATAATGTTATTTTCACAACTGCTCTATGTTACTTGTTGTTATAAAAAAGTTTGCAAATAATTTTGAATTATACCAATTTTATTGGTATAATTTGTGTCTAAAGGTAAAATTTAATTTTTTACTTCTGAAAATTTCATGTTGTTATTCAGGTTCAAATTAGTTGGATTTAAATAAATCCTACTTAAGTAATCGTTACATACTTTTATCTTATTATTAGTAACTCTAGGAAAAGTACGCTTGATATTAACGGAGAATGTACTCAAATGCACTGCAACGCAATGCTGGCGGTCGTTTGGATTATTTACCGATGAAGGTATACTGGCAGAAAAGTGGAAGAAGAGTTATGCGACATGGCGTACGATGCGGAAGGTCGAAGGGCGGTAGAGGGATATAACACCTCCAGCAGAGGCAAGCCGACGCTACGGGACGGCCGACGTGCGTAAAGATGTGCGTGCATACGCGCGCCTGTATCGGTACCGGATATCCGTGAGGTGACTTGCGCCGCGCGTCGTATTCGGTCGGAATATGCGGGCGCAGTCTTTTTAGAAGGGCCGATCAAGCACGAGCGCGCGTCCGGTTGGACGACGACGATTGGACCCTTCGTGCAATCGAGGTGTGATTCAGAACCAACTTTCTTTCTTCTTCTTCTCGAAAAAAAAATCCGAGCGACGAACTTATCAGGCGACTTTTCTCACTGGAAATGTTATTTCAACGTTTATCGACGCGATTTTATATACCTTCAGAATAAACCACGATCGGTTTATTTTAATTTAAAAAAAATAACGAGCAAATTGTATAGATTAAAACATAATATTGTATAATACTAACGTAAGTTGTACAACAAACAGGCACACAGAATTCCGCGCATGAAAATCGCGTAACAGAAGCGCGTAATAACACGTCACACAATATTAATAATAATATAAATTCCTCGAAGGCAATAAACGTTAAGCCACACAATCGTGCAATGGCGCAAGAAAAAAAAAGGAACATCGAAAGACGAAGGCGAGCCTCGGGCCAGATCGCAAATCCAACGTTCCGCGCCTCCTTTAACGATCCTTATAAATCCTTAACAGCGGCGGGTTTATCGCCGTGACTGCCGACGGCGATCGGGTTGCGACTTTCGTAGTTGCGGGAACCGATCGGGCGCATACCGATCGCTGTACGGTCGTCGGTCGTGAAAGGTGGAAGGAATGGTTTCCGAATGTTTCACGCGAAGCGTGTTTCCGTGGAGTGACATTCCGGAAAAATTTCGACGTCCCAGCATATCGTAGCATTCACGGTTACTACTCGAGCATCTTATACAAGATCTTTTAATTAACCCATATATATCCTAAATAAATCAGTTTCGACGATAATTGCACCAACTATCGCAGGTTTTTTGAAAAATAAAGTTCTGCATGCTTAAACTTTTAAACTTTAAAAAAGACCACCCGAATGAGATATTTGTGCGCGAATATGCCAGCAAAATTATCGAAAATTATCACAGGAATTATCAGTGGGAATTCCTCTATCTGCGAGGCTATCGGTTTTCGCGGAATTTCGTATACGTATTGTCGATCGATCCGTTCACGCCGATTCGTCGTACCGTTATTACCGGGAAGACAAACACTCAGACGAGAGAAACACTTGTCCGCGGTGTGAAGTTTCACGGGGTCAAGTGTCACGGAAGGTCCGCACGGACGGATTAGTCTCTGACGACGCGATCTAGGAGGTCCGCGGTATCTTCCATCCGATCGAAAACCAGGACACGACTCGCCGTTTCTTCATGCTAAGTCGAGCGCGTCGAAAGAATCTCTATACAGTTACCCGTGGCATCAGCGAGGCACTTCTCTCTAGCCCCAATGAACGGAATGTCCGTTCGCCCCGTCGACTCGTCTTCCGTCACTCTACACGACGCAAAATTCGTTACAGGAGATATTCGTTTCAAATACGAGGGGCACTTGTCATACTCAACCATGAATATATTTATAGTAGCCTGCATAGTGCCGTTTCTAACAATACTACACTCATTGAACATTTTTTAACTCTTGATTTTATAACTCTATCATCTTATTCACAGAATACTCCCCAAATAAAAGAAAAAATTGTTTAAAAGGCACATGACATTAAAAAGAATTTATCTACAGATAGTACTACGTGAGAAATGAAAATGGAGTAATTTTCAGGAAATTAATGAATCTCCAATGAAACATGATTACGCCCAGAGTTGCGTTATTGCTACTTTCGTTTATTATCTGCATTACACGGATACCACACGATCGTTCGTTTGTCAACATTTATGCAGAAACGAGCAACGTGTCCAACGAAAGTAAAAATACAGAGAGGAAAATATACAACATGCAGAATGTTGACAAAAAGCTCGGGTAGATTTTAATTTTAGCGAACCTACGCAACTGGCAAAACGATCGAGTGATGCAGCTAACAGTTCTGCTGTTATGCGAATGGAATAAGAGTAAAAACGTTCGTCCCTCCCGAAACGTCCGACACTTTTCCTCGCGGACTGTTCTCGTTTGCGTTGGCATATATAAGTTAGCAACGGGTGTTCGAATTAACGTTCGAGCCACGGGTAAATATAGAGGGGCCACCCAGCGTGTGTACAACTAATGTAACCCGCGGTGGGGGAGATTCTTGAATCGTTTCCCTCTTTTTGCCCGCGCAGCAAGCGCATCCTCCTTTTTTCCTCCCCGCGGACAATTTATCCGTATTTCTTGCACGCTGTATCCGTTTTCCACGCGCAGCGGCGCGCCGTGTCGCGTGATTGTTGCGCCTCTGCACGAAAGCTCGACCGTGTTCGGGAATAATTAATTTCGACGATTTTCTCACACCGATCTGTTTCCCTCTGTCATTACATTTTACGACGCGTTTTAGAGACACGACTGATTCAATTTAACCACTCGTGGTGGCAAGTAAACGGGACTTTAATATTTTTATTTTTAGTAGTTTAAGAGAGATGCAGGATTGCGATTTTTATTTCAAAATATAATCAATTGGAAAAGTACATGAAAGATAAGAAAAACTTGCACTTTATTCCCTCATTATTATTCTTCTTCATTTAATTTTAAATAATTTCTATATATTCCTCTTTCGTGCATTTGTAATTTCTATTTTCGCATCAGCAGCTCTGCAGAACGTAATCCTCAAGTACGGAACTTTTACGGAGCATATTATGGCATAATCGTCGTTAAAAGGCAAGAGAGGAAGAATAAAAAGGTATCACACAAAAGAAGAACGATAAAAGAGCAATAAAACATGACAGTCACTTACCCTGCACCCACAGCTGCTCGACCTTGCTGTTGACTTGCGCGGACTTGAGGGCGACGCAGAGGATCGCCAGCGCGAGGACGGCAACGAAGAGCACCTTTCCGGCATGCCTCTGCAGGAAGTAGCCCAACTGGCTAAGCTGATCCTGCAGTAGCGCCCTGAGCCACACCGCTGACCTCTGGCCTTCCGCCTTCCCCTGGAAAGAAGATCGAGGGTTCATGATGTATGTGTGGCGCAAAAAGTTACGCGATGCACAATTGACGCTGTTCCACATTCGCTACGACTCGACGGTCCTTCTTGCTCTTTTGCAAAACAAAATGATTGAGCTAACTGCGTAAACGGAAAAATATATACGTTTTTTAAATATTACAGAGAAATTTGATCGCGCGAGTGCGCGCATACTGGACAACGTGACTCGTGCGTGTCGCGTTTTTGCGCAGACTTAGTATGACATTATTATTGAATGTTTCACAAAGCTTTCCAAACTAGCTCAAATTTATCTTTGAAAAAGGGTCGGGCATCACTACTCCCTACATAAATCTCCCACGAGATGATTCTACGAATCGTCGTCGATTTTGGGGCGACCTATATTTCAGAATAATTCCGCCGGGATTACGCGAGATAAGAATGGGTGCAGCCGGTTTCCGGGAAAAATCGGTGAACGCACTCATCACCAAGGGTGAAAAACGAAGGAGAGAAGGGAGGCAAGTGCAGTCGGGGCCTTTAAATTCGACGCGTGGGTTTGTAGAATGACAAGCGGCGGAAATGAGAAAAGCGAGAGTGAGACAGAGAAGGTCAGTGAAAGAGGACCGTGGACCAGGGGGGAGGAGAAGGAAGAGGATGAGGATGGCGGTTCGGGCTTTTAGAGCGAGGTTACGGCTGCAACGAAACCGAGAAAAGAGAGAGAGAGAGAGAGAGATGAGAGAAAGCGAGAGAAAGAATACAGAGAGGAAAAGAGAAGGTACAAAGAGAGGGGTAATCGTACAAGGAGAGTCGGGGGGCCTTACGGAGGAGAGGAGAGAAGGAAAGCCGGGCTTGCAACATTGCAAGCGGCAACGTTGCACACTACCTGGTGGCCGCTCTGACAATATGTACCATGGACCACCCGCAACAATGCCGATCTTTCGAGTCGGGAGGAGAAAAGGAGAGGGATGCCTAATTCAGAAGAAGACGAGGAGAGAGAAGACGGTCGGAGTCGCGCCGTATCACCTTCTCGCTTGGCGCCTAAATAAACAAACACGGGATCGATTTGTGACAAACAAGCATTTAGTTGTAGGTAGTCGAACCGGAGCTAGGGCATGCTACACGCGCCAGCGCCAGCGAGTGTCGTAATTGTTGCGCAATCTCCCCAATTTTCACGAAATTATCGAAATCGTAATTAAGAAAAGATCTGCGCGCGCTCACCCGGAGGTCATTTAGCTGCTTGAAATGCCGAGAGAATTAACGCGTAATGTGAGATAAAACCCGCGATAGCTATAAAATTATTTATGATCGCGAGCGGCCGGCGTGCGTGTATCGGAAGAGAGCAAAAGGATCTATAATGCCACCCCTTTGCATCGCGGTACAGTTACGTTTTAAGAGAGTAACGCGCGCGCTCGCGCTTGCTCGCTCGCGCGCAGCTGACGGGCGAAAATATGGATTGCGCGCGGGCACGTATCTCGGGGCGGTAGCCGCGTCGGGTATCGGATAGCAAGGTTTTCCAGCCAATTAACTCTCGTGGCGCGGGCCCCGTGACTCGACGGGGACGAGAGGGAGGGAGGAAAGGAGAGGGGGCCCGGGTAATTCTAGACGCGCGGACAATCCGCGTCCGCCACATGGTGCGTCGCGCGTCAGCGGGTCCAGCACCGCGCTAGGCGCCCAACCCGAGTTTCGCATTTCCGCGTGACTTTTGCCCCGACCGGCGCGGCACGACGCGGCGCGGGCGTTTCCCTCGGAAAGATCTACAGCCAGCGGAGCGCGATGCCGGTACCTTGATTGATACTCAAAGTACCGGGTACACATCGCGCTATTTTAGAACTGTCATACCGAAACACGCTGGCGTTTTAGTTATACCAGCGTGGTATTTGTCGAGAATCTTTAGTGATTTGCGCATGTACACATATAATAGTATATCAATAGTATAATATTTATTAACTTATTGTATAATTTTAATTGTTTAATCTTCAAGACTTTTTTACTGTGCGATAACAAAGCAACAATATAAAAAATAGAAAGAATTATCTTATTATTTCTTCAACGAGCATCGAAGCGGAAATTTTGAATTTTATTTTCAGGCTTACGAGATACTACTCTTCAAATTGACTCCGAATTTACTCGAGAACTGCCACTAAAGTTACAATCGAGAGTTGCGAGACACCCTGTATACCATCGAGAGAGCACACACCGGTATTTTCACCGACCGTTTCGAGAAAGAAACCGAAAGGACGAAGAAGAAGAAGAAGAAGAAGAAGTAAAAGGAAGTCGAGACGCCACGAGTCGCTCTCGAGACGTCTATATAGCGTCCACACACGCGGCAGCGCGCGCGCGCGAAAGAGGGAACGGGAGGGTGAACGGAGCGGGGGAGGGGAGGGGGAGCTCGAAGGGGGACAAAGATGGTTCCCCCCTTTTTCCCGTAAGTGGTCTCTCTCACCGCGGGCCTTATGGGGTTTCTCCCGGTGGTGGGCAGTATCTACATATTACAAGCTCGCGGCGCGGAGACCACCGTCGTTGACATAAGATCCTGTTATGCTGTCTGCTATCTCTCGGCGCAGCTCGTGTCGCGCCATAAAAAACATTAAAAGTACGAGTAACATAAATTCGTTAAACGCGGCGGCGGCGGCGATCGCCTCGCTCTTCTCCCGCGACTCGTTTCTCTCGCGAGAGAGTGCCCTCCTCGAGAAACGAGCGCCGATCGCTCGCGCTCACGAACACTCTCACCCTCTTCTCCTCGTCAGGCTCTTCCCTATATCTCCACTTGCGATTCTCTTACGTTATTGTCCATCAATTACATTACATCATCAACACAATAGTATCATCGATCCCAGTATCATCGATCTTGAACTTGGATTATACAATTGCAATAAAACAAAAAATAGTAACAGATCCCGTTTTTTCTATTGAGCTAAAAAAAACCTATCAGCTAATAAAAATTAACACAATTTGTGAACGTTGCGGGCTTTTCTCGGATACGTTTCTTTCCATTTTTTTTTATTTCTTCCAGTCGCGCCGTGAATTCCAGGATACTCCACTCGGTACGCGCGTGCACGTAACTCACCGCGGTACGCCATGCCGGATAAACGAAGAGATTCTTGCGGTAGGTACGGCTCGAAAGTGTCCGCAAGAAACTCGATCCGCGGCCGGCGCTCTAATCGGCCGAGGAATTCCACGGCGATGTGTATTCGAAAGGGAAATCCAAAGGTCGAATTGCGGACGGTAACGAGCTTTAGAGGCCGTTGATAATCGCGAGTACTTCCTCTCCCTAAATTCCAACCCCGCAACCCCGTTGCAAAGTTATCACTCAATTTTTAGAATTTCAATATATAATTGGCAGTTTTGATATCTCCCCAAAAAATTCTAGCGTACCTGACAAATTGAAAGAAGATTATGGCGACGAAAATGTGTGAAAAGTAGATGTTCAAAAATATATGAGTGTCCATGTTTTTGGAAATTAATAATAATCCTTTGATTTCGATCAGTTATTTTGATTTCAATTATAACACTTTCCAATAAGATTTTTGAGGAACTGTAAATTATCAGGAAAGTCTATAATTATCAGACCTCCGAAAAATTTCTGAGATTTAAAATAATAAAAACAGAAGATTTTCTCTGGGGAACCAATCTGTGATTAGTACGTGGGTCTTCGTGGTAATAGAGTTGTAAGCCTAAAGAAACGATCGGTACCCTGCGGGAAAAGAATTATCTGATTCAAACGATCTGTTGAAAGAAAATTGTCAGCGCAAAAAGAACTCAATTTGAACTTTCTGGGGACTTGAGAGATATGTACGTGTATACAACGGGAGCCAGGTACAGGACGAGAACGATACAGGACGGTCGGAAGATGAAAGGCGTCCGAACGATGCCAACTCGTGTGGGCGTGTATCCTTCAGCAAGGATGAAAGGGACGGACCGACCCTTGGGCGCATCGGTGTCCGGCACACTCCTCCTCCTCGGTCGTTCCTTACGAAACTCGAGGAAAAGCGTGACGGTCGGTGTCTTTAGATTTTTCACGTGTTAAGGACGCGTGAAAGTTCCCTGCCGTTTTACAAAAGTCGAAAGCTCATAAGACTGACTGATTCTACGCCCGTGCAAACTTAATTTCGGCCGATCTCTCCCTACCACGATTCTTCCTGCGAAAAAAAAACAAATCGAATTCCCGTTGGACATCACGAGCTCAAAATTTTTAACTAGCTATATATTTTTAACTAGAAATTCGAAAGCTCACGATTGTTAATTTATTGTCAGCTTCCGTTTCTTATTCCCGTAAAAAAAGGGGTAACGGGGGATAATTACAGCAGCGAAGATAAATAAAGCAAATTAATTGCGGATGTCTCTAGTGATTTTACGGATATTTCTATTGATTTCGTAAAATCATTGACAATAGAAAAGCAAGCAAAAAATAAAACGCTTTTAAGTGCGCATTAACGGCGATTAAAGTTAACGTAAACATCGATCGTCCAGCGTATTGTTTGAAGATGATCTTTCACGTACCGCATAATTCACGTAATGAGATAGTTAGTCCTATGTACTAACGTGTAATTTCCCATAATCATATGTTACACATTGAAGTTTCGTCGTGACATTCCTACGTTCGGAGTGCGAAGTGTATACAGGGCAGATCGAAAAATTAAAACAAACAATAAATACTTTTCCTTGCAATGTTTAACCATTTTCTCAATAGTATTTTAATTATCATTGCATTTGCTACGTGACTATATGCATATATAGAATGAAAATACCATTGTGTACGCTTGGTTATTTTAAATCAAGTTTTTTAGTTAAATATTCCAAAAACTATCAATATTTATTAAAATTTATCATAGAGCTTTTCAATTACGAACTGTTGGCAAAATTAATTCGTGTCTTCTTGCTAGGTAACATAAAATGTGTAATAACATGCAAGTATCAATGAAATTCTCTATATATAAGGTGGAGAGTTTTATATCAAGCTGATATATAATATGCCTAGATAATCCTAAAGTAAACACAGACACAGACCAT